TATAGTTTGGTTGATTAAGAGATTTCGTATAAATGTATATAAATTCAAATCTGATACCATTAGAGTCGGTTACTAGAGCCAAAAGACTGTTAACTTTATCACAATTGGGGGGTCCAAAAGAAATAGTTTTGATGCTGTTTGAATGTAGATCTTTTTGTATTTCTACAATTGTGTACAGGGAGTTTCACAATTTGTTTTTTGAACTTCATTTATACGTAACAACGTTAGATCGACAACTAAAAAGGCGACTATTTATACTTGTACTTGTATCTATTGATGTCATTTGTGCGATGAGCATTGTTATGTACAAGTGAAAACGGTTATAAATGAAAAAAAGCGAGAATTGGTTAATATTTTCATCAATAGACTTCCAGTTGAGATGCATATTCCGGGCTATCCAATATTATCGTCTAAAAATTACATTGCAGGAATTTCTAGCTTGTGATGATCGAGAAATCAATCCTCTTAACGCATACAAATAATATTATATAGTATACTGGAAAGATGAAGAATATATAGTTAGAAATATTACAAATAGAGTTTTAGCTGAAAAATTGCAGGATACAATTTATACTAAAGATATTAACATTAAAAGGAAAGACAGCTGCATATAATATATCTAATGTCATGAAATTAAAATCAAAGTTTAGCATAGAGTAGAAGAAATAATCTAGAAAAAACAAAAAGCAGCCTTCAAGTGGCTAAATATAAATTTTTTTCTTTGATAATTAGCTTTGCGTTGAAAAATGCTATTGCAGCTATTAAAAAAATTGATAGCAAAGTAAAAATTAGTGCACTACTTAATCTAATGATTTCATTGATATAATTAACGGGAAGAGCCTTACCTTTTCTTATAACGCTTTTCGTTGGTCTGAATACAACGGTACTACTGCTGGTGGTGACATGGAAATCGCAAAAACTATGAAAATTCTAAGATGGCCAAGCAAGAATTTGAAGAAAACAAAAGATACAACAAAACACGATTGAAACGATAAATTTCGTAAAAGGTTTAAATTTGAAATCATGTAAAATAGGATTTGGACTTCATTTCAAAACTTATTCACAGGATTAGGTCTAAAAGATAAGGAAAGGTCTAAAGGAAATTTAAGACTCTTGTGTAACATTATTACTGTTGCATATTTAAATAGGAACATAGTTTACGGTAGTTACGAAGTTTTTCCTGCATTACCCCCAGATATAAATTTATTGGAATTCTATTGTATGTGATTCTTCTTCTAGTTATGAAAAAGTGAACAGATTATTTGCGAATACACTACCAAGACGAAAATTTATTTAATTTCCATGTTGCAGACATAACCGTCAGAATATTTCCATGGCAGAATACTCTTGGTACTTATCACACGAGTGATAAGTACCAAGAGTGGCAGAAGTTATATAAGCAGCAAGACATGTAATCCAGTTATCAGTTGTCGTTCGAGTAAGTAATTTTTGAAAGTGTAAAAGTATGTTTAAAAATAATTAGTAAAAGATGGATTGTATCAATATAGTGCATAAACTAACTGATAAATAGTGCGATAGGTCTATATTGGAGAAACTAAATAGATATTGAAAAAATGCGTTAACTGACATAAGAATAATAAGAACAAGAATGCGGTGATAAATATACATAAACGAAAATTCAATCATGAATTTAATTGGATCGGCATCAGTATTTTGAAAGAAGCGTATGGTCTCAGAAGTATTATATTAAGAATTACAACATTAATATTAAAGAGAATACTGCAAAACTGAATAACATACAATGGTATTATAAACCTACTACAGATTAAAGATCGGGCACAAGGTATAAGACCAAATCATAATTGTAAGACGAGTGAGATACATGCATTTGTTCTCATTATAACAATTTTAGGCTGTTATGTTAAAAGTAAAGTATTTACTACAATAAATCGTATTACATGAGAGAATAAAGTACATGATATCATTTTGAAATTAAGCCGAGAGTAGCAGATTAATCATTTATACTAAATCACCCTCGATATATACCTTTTAATTATTTTATGAAAACGGCGATGAGGCATTTTAAATTAAGAACAATATTTATTCACCAATGTATATTGTATGTTTTAGGTACGGCAGTAGTCTGGTAGGAGGTGAAGCGACCGAGTACAGACTGGGAAGAAGAAGAAGAGAGAGAGAGAGAGAGTGTATGTGTAAGGCAAGAAGTAAAGAGAGAGAAACGAAAAGTAAAGAGACGGAGAAAGATAACAGTTGACATTTTTTTGTTGCCTGGATATTCAGTGGATCTCCCTCTTGCGTTGTCTGTTTCATTCGGTATATCGTGGCTCGGATACATGAATACGTGCATCAGTAAAGTTGTAGATTCGCGGCAATTGGAATTCATGTCTTGGTATACTGCATTGGCAACAATGAGAAGCATGCTACCCACCTCGTGTTAAGTTCTTTCTCTCTCTCTCTCTTTATTTCTTTCTCTCTCACATAAGCATATAACAATAAATTTGATACATTGTCTTCTATGCCGATGTGCATATTATTTAAAAATAATTTTGTAAATATAGAGAGCATTAAGATTGTCAATCCAGTGTCTGAAATAATTCATTATTTCTGTCTCACTAGGGTTTTATCTCTCACTAAAGGTGCAATCAACGTTTTTATTGATTTAATAATAAATTCAGTCAAATGCAATTTCTCTAGAAATAGTCTAAGTTACCAGATGTTTCAGGCTCGTTACAATATTTCGTAAAACCCATGTTTATATAGCAAAATAATTGTACCCACCATCATCAGATTTTCATGGTTTTCAAGACCAATTACTGTGATTCTAATACAAGTCACTTTGATGCTACTATCAACGAGGAAGGCGCTTATAAAAGAGCAGCTCTTACGACGGTTCGGTTTTAGAGATGACAAACAGATGCTGTAGTTTTAATAGGCAAATTAATAGACAGATATGTTGCGTCGCAACATATATATAAAATAAAAATTACTATTAAGGCGCTTGTGTGCGCTGCGAAGTCGTTGTATGTGTGATGGGCGCTGGGGCCCTCAAGCCTAGCGCGGTGGCAGCATCTACAGGGCTGCGCTACTCGAGTCATGCTTGACCAAACGCGCCGGCGCAGCCGGCAGTAGTCGACTACAACACCAAGCGTGCGGAGCTCCCTCGCGACTATCGCTTACTGATAGAGAGTTAAATTGTACCATGTACATTTAATTTAACACAGCACAACGTGCAAATAAACCAAGTTGAACGGATTTGGTTTATCATACGCCACCCACGTGGCAATACAGTCTTTTGTGCGTGACAGTGCGTATTCTGTATAAAAAATCAGAAATTCGTTTGTAGCATGAGTGAGCACGTGGCGAATGTAATAGCAATGGTCATTGTATGATTGAGTGCGTGATGTCGTCTTTCTCTGCTTGCGCTTCCCGTTTGTATAACTTCCATTATTATTAATAAAAGGGTTTTTTATGCCTTCACAAGCTTTTTCCCTCACAAAAACGTGATGTGGTTCATTTATTTCTTAATCTAGCCTTCATTATAAAATAATTGATAAAAAAGGGGAACCAAGATAAATAGCAAAATATTCAAATTCGACAACAATCAATAACAAACTAAAACTCAACAGTAAGTCAAGCATAAAACAAATAACAAGATTATTTATTTCTTTACATTTTTTTTTTTGAAATAAATAAATCGCGACATTTCAAGGTACATTGTGGCACTACTGTAGCTGATTAACAAAGTACAGTTCGAATTGATTATTCTGAGTGTGATGAAATAACTTTTGTTAAAATATATTCAAGGATCCTTCTTTTCAAAGGTTAACTCATTTTTAACGTGGATATCACAAATTTAGTACTTTATTTTGGTAAGCCTTCAAAATTAAAAATAAAACAATTGAAATATATAGTAGGATGTCTCTTCAGTCCAACCATATTTTTTGTAATTTTTCAAACATGATTTTTTAAATAAATAATCAATATTTTAAGTAGTAACTTGCGATGACTACTTCAAATTAACCCCGTCAATCATATGTCAACTTCATCAAAACTCACCAAAATATTAAAAATATAAAAGAATCACAAGTAAGGCATCACGAGTACATGTTTGCAATCTATTTAATTTAATTGTGCTTGTTCAAGTTACACTACAGAAAAGAATGATGTTAGATAGATACTGGATGTTGAATATTAATTTTCAATAAAACAAACAATACACAATGGCGAATACAAATCGAAAATCAGGCTTATTTTGCGTATAAAAACGAGGTTTATGCTTTTGCATCATCAGACATTGGAGTGTTGATTATTTTTACTTCTCGCAAATGTACTCGTACACTCGTTCATTTAGGAAGAAGAATTGAAGAACATAAAAAGACTACACGCTAAGATATTACATTTAATTTAAAAAACAATCCTTCCCATTCCTTTAATTAGAATAATACTATGATTTTAGATAAATGAAGTATTTATAGAAAGAGATTGATATCTGAAATGCTTTACATCAATATGTATAACGATATAATTAATAAACAGGAAGATACATTAGATCTATATTCCTAATATAAAGGTTTAAAAATATTTTCACTAAGCTGAAATTGGTATAATTTGTGGACGGTAGCATGCAAAACTTTCCCGACCCCTACAAGAAAAAACACCTAGTATCTTGTGAAAGAATACCCACTTGCGATTCTGAATTTTTCAAGTGCGCAAAGATAGGTAAAAATGGTAGAGGATTGCGTTTAGGTGTATCTGCTTTTCTGGGAAAGTCGCAAAATAGTAAATATTCCTTCTCCATATGCGGTATACTAGTACAACTCTTTGCTACATGCGAAGTAAATTACGTTGACTCCTTTTTGATTCGCATGAGAAAGAACCGTGGATAAACAATATTCATTCCATTAAGTTATTTAAACCTTGCATGGTTACAATCGATTTCTTATAAGTATAACTAATTATGATTTTTCATTCAGATGAATTAAAAATATTTAGCGGAATTTATTTTGATATAATTGCAGACAGATAACGCAATTGAAAGACGGAAGTCAGCAGCCACCTAGCGATCATCTCATGCGTCAACTAGTAGAGTTTGTCAATACTGAAAATCCACCGTGTGCCAACTGCGATAAACGAGATAAGACAGCAATGTTCTTTTGCACAACGTGCGGTAGGTATAAATATGAATCATTATAAAAAATAATAATACATATGAAATTTAAGATATAAATCAAAAACGTTATGAAATAACGTAAACAAGTATTTAATACATTACCTGAATTGTCCAAGAAAGATAGTGTGACGGCCAGCCGTAACTTAGTTTTTTTTTTAGATTAATTTAATTATTAAATATAACGAACGGAGTGGGAACCTTCCTGATTTCCCACGATGAAAACGCATTCGAAATAAAGTGTTTATATAAACTTTGATAGTGGCTCGAGCCTGCGTACTCGGCCTTACAATCGACGCTCTATCCTGCTTTGTCCCACGCGCATGTGTTGACAGGAGCCTACGACCATCGCGTATACATCGTCAAGTGTTATCGCGCTGATAATGGAAGGGGACCATAAAAATGCAATTTTTCTTTTTTTTCCACCGAATTTTAAGAAAATATCCGTAATATTAAATAGATTTTAATCAATTTTGTAAGTTATTATAATGCGCATCTTTTAGTCATCAAATAACCAATAAATAATTTTATATTAGAACAATAATGTGTTTTATAATAAATCGTAGAAGTTTTGAATTTTTCTAAATATTTATAATAATTGAATTATTGTAATAATGTATCGTTAAAATTAACTAAGTTTAGTATGATTTTGAATAAGTAATTATAAACTATAGCGTTATTCTTGCTCTTAAAAGTGGCACTCCGAGAGCCATCTCTGGAGAAAAGGGCCCAAGTTTAAAAGGGACCGCCCTTTCTCTCTCTGAAAATTTACGCCCACAGACCAATAAAGAAATCCTAGATATGATTAGAAAATTTTCCACCAATACAAAATTTGGCCGTTATCGCTTCATGGGCCTGAGGAAAGGGATTTCCACCCAACCACCCACTGCTTATAAAAAGCTCTGTACAAGACTGGAGGAGTGGAGTGAGCACCAGGAAGTGCCTAACAAGAAGTGATTACCAGTGAGTGAGTGCTGGAGGAAGCATCAAAGAAGAAAAAGTCAGCCAAAATTCAATTAAGAAGTCACCCAACTACATCCAGAAGAGAGAGAAAGAGGTCAAAGAGCAGAGAGAGCGCAGCCTTAATAATAAGCAATTAAATAAAATAAAAGTAAGTAAAACCTTATATCTGGCTATCCTTTTCTTTCTTTAAGCAATTCGTTTTTTAGAAATTCATTAAGCGTGAGTCTGGTGAATTTTCATTAAAGTCCCTTAAGAACACATTAAGCGTGAGTCTGGTGTGTTCGTAATAACATTTGGTTATTACATTTTGCGCTAGCATACAGTTTTCTCAACGCAACAATATTGCTCGTCCCGGCTTATGTGTTACACGATAGCCAAATCAGAGCAACCCTGAGTTTACGCTTACTCCAAGCGTACCTGAGAGTGACCCCGACGTCACAATAGTATTTTCTTAATTGTAATAAATAATGTACTCAATATATAAAATAACCAAAAACCTAGCGCATTCTAAATTGAATTATTATTTTACACGACGACATAAAATAAATGAACGTGATCATAAATATTTTAATTTAAATATAGACCAAAGTTTGTTTATGTCTTTCATTTAAATAATTTAATAAGGTCTTCTTGTTAAATATTATCTATCACAAAGAAATATGTGTTCACAATTTTCGTTCTATTTTAATCTAAAATATATTAAGCCATGTAATTCGTCGGTAGAAAAGGAAAAAAATAAATGCTCATAGAAAATTACTGAAGGCCGATCCAGCCGTCTTTAATAAAGTTTCTTTTTGTAAGTATGTAACAATGCAGTGTAGTGATACGGTACAAATGCAATGTTTATATTGAATTCAGACTCCTTTTGTTTAAGCAAGCTGAACCAAGCTTCAAAATTCACATAACTAAATACCAAAGAGAGGAAAAGTTTGCGAATGAATCAATTAATTTAACATACGAGGTGTGTTCAAAAAGTAAGGTGAGTTTTTATTTTTATGAAAAAATATTTATTTATTCATCAATATTTATGTTGTCCCCTTCAAAGTTATTCCCTTTAGATATAATACAATTGTGCCAACGTTTTTTCCAATTCTCGAAGCACTTCTGGTATGCACTTTCTGGTATAGCCTTGAGTTCTTCCAGCGATTTTTTCTTTATTTCCGCAATCGTTCCAAATCTTCGTTCTTTTATGGGTTTATTGAGTTTTGGGAACAGGAAAAAGTCGTAGCAGGCCATATCCGGTTAATATGGTGCCTGAGGCATGATTGTGATTTTGTTATTGGCTAAAAAGTTGGACAGAAGCAACGATGAGTGAGCAGGTGCATCATCGTGATGCAAGATCCATGAGTTGTTTTCCCACAATTCCGGACGTTTTTTTCGTATTGCTTCTCGCAAACGACACATAACTTCAAACTAATACTCTTTATTGACCGTACGAGCTTGTGGTAAGAATTCTTGATGTACTACGCCACGATAATCAAAGAAAACAGTGAGCAAAACCTTGAAATTTGATCGAACTTGACGTGCTTTTTTCGGTCCTGGCTCTTCTGGGGTCTTCTTTTGGGACGATTGGGCTTTAGTTTCGACGTCATAACCATAAACTCATGATTCTTCATCAGTTATGACTCTTTTGAGCATGTCAGGATCATCATTGACGTCATTTAATAGCTCTTAAGCGACGCTCCTTCGACGATCCTTTTGTTTAAAATTAAGCAGTTTGATGCTACATGTTTCATGCCCAAAACTTCGGAAAAAATTGCATGCCAAAAGCCAACAGAAATGCCGACGTCTTCAGCCACTTCTCTAATAGTGATTCGACGATTTTTTAACAACATTTGTTTCACTTCTTCAAAACTTTCATCAGTTATTGAAGTGCTGGGGCGTCCAGACCGAGGTTCGTCGTCGGTGTCTTCTCGGCTATCTTGAAAAAGCTTATACCACTTGAAAACATTTTTTTTTATTTAAAATAGACTCGCCGTATGCCACTGTCAACATTTAAAGTGTTTTGGAGCACTTAATTCCATTTTTTACATAAAATTTTATGCAAACACTTTGATTCATTCTTTTCCACAGCAGAAAATCGCCGAGCACAAAATACACGTCTAACATTTCTATCTCGCAAAAAAAAAGTAAACATACAAACTTGCTGAAACTGTGAGCATATGTAAGGGACATATATACCAACATAATAAAAATACTATTGATGATCGAATCGACGTTTTTAAACGCAAAGAAAGCCGTAGAAATCAACTTTTTTAAATACGCGTAAAGCCTTTAGTTGTGAAAATATTAGCAACGATAAATGGTATTTTTTCATTATAAAAAGTTATTCAGATATTTTTTTTTACCTTACCTTTCATCAGTCTCTTTCATTAAAATAGAAATTGTTACTTTTATGACTGTGTAATGCGGTACATTACAAGGCCTTTCCTGAACGTTGCATTATTTGCAACACCTCAGGAAAGCCATTCTCGTCCCTTGCCGCCACGTAACCAGCTGCATAAAAAATAAATAAACGCGCACTAAAATAAACAATTAACCCTTTTCATGCCCGAATACTACAACCGGAGATATTGACGAAATAAGCGACGAACGCGATCCGATCCCCAGGGGGCGCTCCGACGACCGTTACGGGAACACGAGGCGTACACGCGAGAGACCGAGCGGCCATTTTGAAGCACCGAGATGAACTGAGCATGAGCGAGCGAGATCCACTGAGAGCGAGCGAGCGAGATAGACTGAGATTGAGCGAGCGAGACAAACTGAGATCGAGCGAGCCAGACAGATTATATAAAATGATGAATAGAATTATATGTGTAAGCATCAATTTTTGAAGAACTAAAATTGAGCTAAGAGGTAAGGCAATAATCAACTCTTGTAAGATGAAGTTTATAACTGTATTTACAATATTTACACATTAGTCCAAACTATTAATAATTGTTAAATAAAAGTGATATCTTAATAACTAACCTGAATCTATACAATAGCCGATAACACGCCTTTTATACGTCTGTATACAAACGTCAAAATTAACGATGCTCTCTGCTCGGAGTCTTATTCTCCACTAACTACTTACTACCGACTCACTATAGCTACATGAGTCTAAGCCAAGCTTGGTACTATACACAAGCTTACATCCCCCTCACTAAGACCGAGAACACCCCCCATCGAAATAAGGAACAAATTTACTAGAATGAAAAATATTTGATATTATTCTTTTAAATCCACTGTCTAACAGATACATTGTTTTTGAGATTTTTTTTTTTATTTTAAATGGATCAATTCTGATTGGGTCCATTTTATTCCTATTTAATTTGTTAACATTTTGTACATAAACTAAGTCACCTACTTTATATTCTATTTGTTTTACATTTTTATTGTGTATTTCTTTTGATTTAATATAAGCTAGTTTTCTATTTTCCTCCAAATTTTTCAGATTATTATTATTTATTTCATCTGGTAAATATGAATTGTTTACTCCTGTCAATAGATAATTAGGAGCAAATCCAGTTGAGCTATGAATCGTATTATTATAATCTTTTACACATTCTTCTGCTATTGTAGGCCATGATTTATTTTTATTTTCATAGATTTTGCATCTTATTCTGTTTACCAAAGTTTGATTTGTCCTTTCGTTTAATCCATTTGAAAATGCGCAATCCACGGCTGTAAATACCATTGTTATCTTCCGGTCATTTAAATATTTTTTTAATTGAGCTGAATTTATGCCTGGATATTGATCTGTTAAAATTATTTTAATTTTTCCATTTTTTTCTATCTTTTTAGTTAAGTTTATGAAATCCTTCGCAATTTGAGTCTTTGAGGTTATTATATATGCTGATCTTGTAAAATGATCAACAGCCAAGTGTAAGTATTTTTTTGTACTGTTCTTGCTTTTAAAACCTCCTATTGTATCTATAGACACTATTTCTAAAGGTTTCTTTGCCGGACCAAGTTGCGATAATGGTGCTTTAAAACAACCTATTCTTGACTTATTTTTTATGCATGTTTCACAGGATCTACAAATCAATCTTATA